GGGGGGCGACCCTCCCCCAACAAACCAACCAATCAATCAATCAATCAATCAATCAACCAATCAATCGATCAATCAATCAATCAACCAATCAATCGATCAATCAATCAATCAATCAATCAATCAATCAATCATCAATCAATCAATCAATCAATCAATCAATCAATCATCAATCAATCAATCAATCAATCAATCAATCAATCAATCATTAATCAATCAATCAATCAATCAATCAATCTTTTTTTCATGGCTACTTTGGACCCGGACCTGGACATTTCCGGACATGGAACCGGACCCATGTTCGGTAGTTTCCGGACGTCAGGAATTCCGGACATTTCTGGACCTCCGGACATGGGGGGATACGGATGGTCCGGAAGTCTGGACAGGTCCGGAAATGTCCGGACCATTAAAAAAAAAAAAAAAAAAAAAATCTGAAGAAAACGTATGTTATGCAGAGTAACAATGCAAACCACTTTTGCCTCAGAGTCATGCCAGAATTCCTGACCAAACTTGAGTTAAAAGTCAAAAACTACAAAAAGCTTAAAAAAGACTTTAAAAACTAATAAAAGGTGATGAATGATTAATAATTAAAAAATTGGGGTTGTCTAATAAATTATTATAGAGAGAGAGAGAGAGCATGTCCGGACCCCCCAAAAACGCATAAACGGGCCTGAAAAAACCCCAAAACAATTTTGGGGGCTTGGCTCCTCAATGGGGAAGGGTCCTGGAGCGTTTTCTTTTTTGTTTTTGCTTCCTCGAAATTTGGCAGATCCCGACCTTCCAGACCGGACGTCTGGAGTCCGGACTGAATCCAGAACGTCTGGACGACGGTCCGGACGTCCGGATCGCCCCGAAACCCCAGCACCCCCCCTTCCCAACCAACCCCCAAACAAAGAATCTTTTTTTTCTTCTTTTTTACTTCGGGGGGGTAGCCCGCGGCATGATGAAGGCCGCCGAAACGACTCGTACAGCCCGTACGACCGCCTGGGGGGCCGTACATACGGCCGTATGGACCGTACGGCCACCCCATACGAGGTGCAACATAAGGAGAGTGTTTGCCTTAGATAGTAAGAGACACTGTTGCTATTCGATGGGGGGTGGGGGACGATGACATCGGTTGGCGCAGCTACTGGCAAAATGTCCCGGACCCCCACGTGCAGCCCCATCCCATCTCTGACCAGTGACTACCGCTGTTGGGGTGGCAATATGAATCTTTTGTGAGGCATATATGCTTGCATGATCTCCTCTATATAGCCTTAGGAAGTTGGGAGTAGTGGTAGGTAGGTAGTGAAAGCCTGAAAGGCAAAAAAGGATTTGAGAGAGAAATATAGTGCAAATAAATAGATAAAATTGCCCTCCCTTCTTCACCCTGCTTCTTCTTGTTCTTTTTTTTTTTTTTTTTTTTCTAAAGTCCAATTTGTTGTAGAGGCTGGAGGCTAGACATCTGCGCATTTACTCTCAGTACTCGGTCATTTAGTTATCTGGATGGTCTATAGGATGGTTGCACATAATTATCGTGAATCCCTCCCTACCGGGACGGTCACGGCCTTTGCGGCCACGTGGCAGCCCGTGGGGGGGGGTTTCAGGGGTGGGGGTTGGGGATCGGTGTTGCACAACCCCGGCCCTACCCCTAGGGTAGATCAAAACTTCAAAAGAAAGTTCTTTTCTGGGCGTGATTTGGAGGGGGGGAGGGAAAAAAAAAAAAAAAAACTGTTTGCAAGAAACGGAAAAAAAAACACCCTGTTTGCTTACTTACTTGCTTGCGCTATTGATTGATTGACTGATTGATTGATTGGTTAATAGATTGATTGATCCCTTGATTGATTGATTGATTGATCGATTGAAAAAAAAATAAAAAAACAGAGTGTGCGTCTGTGTGTCACTGTGTGCATGTGCGTGTGTGGGTGTGTGCGCGGGGGGTGGGGGACCCCCCAGCTGCCCAGCAACCAACGAATGAACCAACCAATCCATCCATCCATCAATCAATCAATCAATCAATCAATCAATCAATCAATCAACCAATCAATAAATCAATCAATCAAGCAATCAATCAATCAAAAAACAAAAAAAAGTTGGAAAAAAAAAGAAAGCGCGTTCGCATGCGCGCGTGTGTTTGTGTTTGTATGTGTGTGTGTGTGTGTGTGTGTGTGTGTGTGTGTGTGTGTGTGTGAATCAATCAATCAACCAATCAACCAATCAAAAAGTTCTAAAAACTGAGGGGGGCAGACCAGCGGTCACACACACACACAAACGCGCGAGTGCGGTTGGAGGGGGGCAGACCAGCGGTCACGAAAAGCGGTCGGCGGGCCGTTTTCATGGACGGCGCCCGGTTTTCCATTTCGGGCGATATCGCACGAGGGTGCTATTTTCGGAAGGCCGGGCCGAAGTGGGTTTGGAGGTGTGCAGAGCAGGCAGTCGGGGTGTTCGTATTCGTAAAACGAAAAAAAAACACTAGCAGCAGTGAGTTCCCTCAGCACCCGAATCTGGACATGTTTGTGGAGATGTGCGGTTGAGGAAACTCAACGTGGTTTCCCGCACATCTCAACAAACACGTCCAGATTCGGGCACCGAGGAAACTCAACGCTGCCCGTGTATCATTCAGCCATCGGCCCCGCCACATGGGCAGGGGTGATCTTGTTTTTTTTCCCTTTTTTTTTGGGTCAAAATCTTGGTTATTCGAGCAACAACGGAACTGATTCTGGGGAGGGTGTGAACTACCCCCTTCCCCCGAACACAACGCACCCGCACGCATTTGGCTGCATCTTACAGGAAAGACCGCTTGTATGCGTTGGTTATTAGGGTGTGTTGTGTTCGGGGGAGGAGAGTAGGGAAGGCCGACTATTGACCGAACAGGTCGGGACTGGGACCACCAATGCCCTGAGACTGAGATAAGGGCGTAGACGTATTTGGACTTTCTTCGGGTGCACGTGACCGTACTCACCTCTAAGTACAAGTGCGGTCGACAAAGTGCAAGGGAGCGTGAGGCCGGCCGAGTGGCTGCCCTTCCGCGCAAGCACGGCACAGTTCTGTGTGGAGCATAGGACCAAGTCGATCGGTCGGGATTTCCTAGACACGTGTCACTGGTCAGCCTCGCTTTAGTGTATAGACTCTCCAGTCCTCCATGGCTCCCCAGCTATTTCCTGTCCTCAACTGGCCCCTGCTTTTTGGTCAGCTTCGCTCTAGTCCCCAGTCCTCGGTGGCTCCCCAGCTATTTCCTGTCCTCAACTGGCCTCTGCTTTCCAGTCTCAGACCTACCCCTGGGCCCTGGTGCAGTCCACCCTGCCACCCGCGCGGCAGTGGTCCACAACCTGCCCTATCCCATCCATCACACTCACCCTAATCCACTCAATCCACTCGTTACAGGTGCAGACCCCGCAATCCCGCCCACCTCCTCGTGATTCAGAGTAGACCGCATCTCTTTATTCTGCACCTGCTCCCTCTACGAGTCTAAGAACAAGAACAATACCGCCCAGCCGGCAATCAACGAGTCATCCCTGGCCGCTCAGTGCACTCTCTAGCGACCTGCAAAAGTTGTATAAATACCACATCTGCCTATGACTCTTTGGTACTTTTATCTTCGCTGACCAGTCCGAGAGGGGAAGTGTGTAAAGGGTTTGACCACGGCTGAGTTCGACTGGAGATTAGAAGTACGGCGCCAACTTCGCCGTCAAGCCCGCGTCGATCTACTGCGAACGTGGGCGTCGGTCTACTGCGAACGTGGACGTCGGTTGGTCATCCTTCTGAAGAACGGTTGCACGGGTGGTTACGGATGCGTAGAGGAGTCGGCAAGCGGGCGATTGCATGGAGTGCGTCCACGATTGTGTGGGAGAAGGGGGCGAACTCCGTTGAGGCTAGGGGCGCAGGCGAGCAGGCAGAGCTGTGACAGCTGTCTCATTGCATTTCATCTTAAGGTGAATTCTCTACACTGTTCTCTGCGGGATTCCAAACAATGTCGCGGCATTGTCGCCTCCTCGCACTCTCTCACGATCTACTGTTCTGCCCTTCCGCTAGTAGGTAATGCATGATAGGAGAATCTGAGAAGAATGGAGCGAAGAGTGTGCGCAGCAGCGCAGGTGGTAGGTAATGTCCTTACTGAAGACGGTGAAGAGTGTCTGGCACTGTCAGCAGGTTCTATTCTGACAGTGAAGAATGTCTGGCACTGTCAGCAGGTTCTATTCTGTATATGAGGTTCTAATATGATCTCTGTTGCGTATGAGTATGGAGCGAAGAGTGTGCGCAGGTAGTCAGCGTATGTGTTCAACAAAGCGAGGAGGTCGTATGATTATCTCTGCTTCGTGTCCGTTGGTCTTGTATGAGGCTCTCATTGTCGGAGTTCGAGCTAATTGTACTTTCGATATTTTATGGTGTAACATAACTATTTCTGTTCGGAGTTCGAGCTAATTGTTCTTTCGATATTTTATGATGTAACATAACGACATCTGGTCGAACATTTCTGAGTGACATCTGGTTGAACATCTCTGAGTGACATCTGGTCGAACATCTCTGAGTGACATCTGGTCGAACATCTCTGAGTGACATCTGGTCTAACATCTCTGAGTGACATCTGGTCGAACATCTCTGAGTGACATCTGTGCCACACTGCCACTTGTGTGGTAGTTGGCAATTGGGTTGTTTCTCCTGTGTGGGAGTTTCTCATGTGACGTGTGTGGCAGTTGACAATTGGGTTGTTTCTTCTCTCTCTTCGTATGATGGTTTCTCCTGTGTGGCGGTTTCTCGTGTGTGGCAGTTTCTCGTGTGATGTGTGTGGCAGTTCGCAATCGGTTTGTTTCTTCTCTCTCTTCGTATGATGATATCTCCTGTGTGGCAGTTTCTCGTGTGACGTGTGGCAGTTGGCAATTGGGTTGTTTTATCTCTCTTCGTATGTTCATACTTGCGTTATTATTACGGTAGTGAAACTTCGTCTGGTAAAAAATCCTGGCGAAGAAGGGTCTGTTGGCGCTTTTTTTTGGGGGATCTGGTATTGACTAATTTGACTCCGTGGGAGAAATCGGGAGGCGTTGGTCCATATCTGGTTCACGTTTACGGATGGTAAGTTCACCCGGTATGAATTCTGGACAGGCATATGGTATGTGGTTCACGTTTAACGTTTACGGATGGTAAGATCACCCGGTATGAATTCTGGACAGGCATGTTGTATGTGGCTCTTGAATCTTGATTGTGAAGGAGAACCTCGAGTCTTGAGCTATAATGTGGATTTCTGGCACTCTTTGCCGGCAAGCTGTTTTTTGATCAAGCACCTTTTTTTTATTTGCCGGACAAGCAGTGTTTGAGACAAGCAGTTTTTGTCGGTACTCTTTGTAGGCATTCGTCGCTGACTCGCTGGCACCCTCTGCGGTGGTCTCCTCCTGGGACTCTGCGTGTTTTAATCCCTTCGCTTTTCCTTCCTAGTATCCATTTTGTGAGAAACGTGAAAAAGGTGAGCTATGTGGTCTCTTTACCGGCAGGAGTCCTGCCTGTTTATCCCTGTGCTCGGTCTTTCGCTTGTGTCCTCGTATCAAACGCTGATGGGCATTCTCCTTTTGGTCCTCGTAGTAAACGCTGGTCTACGGTCAACCCTAGACCGTTTTCGATCTCAGGGCGTACTCACATTAGCATTAGCTCAAATGCATCGGATATGATCGGACCCCGTTCCCGGCCATACCTGAGCGTATACCTGGACGTATCTGGCCGCAATTCCGTCCTGGAAATGTAAAGTCGTATTGTGAGTATGCCCTCAGATCGTACATGAATCGGGTAAGGAAGTATCTCTGAATTCGGTGGGAATTTTCCGATTTGGGATGAAATGTTAAGTATTGACATCCGTATTATATACGATTTGGGAGTCAGGTGCTACTTGGCAAGCTGGCATGCATGCGCATGTTTTCTCGTGAAAACACTGTCATGACTGGTGTCCATTCGCGTGACTTATGTGATTAGTGTACGGCCGAACGTCTCCGAGTCGCCGATGTTCTGTTCTGGGAATCTAAAGTATGGTCGGCTTCCTTCGCCGCCACAGAGCGGTAGTTATGTATGTCAGTAGTTTTGGGGGTTTTGTGTCGGTGATTTCGGGGCTCTGCTGGCGATGCTATCAGTTTATATCGTCAGTGAGGGAGTTTTCTGTCCGAAGACCTAATGTTTTTGGGTTTTGCTGTCGGTGATTTCGGTGTTTTGCTGTCGGTGATTTCGGTGTTTTTCTGTCGGTGATTTCGGTGTTTTGCTGTTGGCGATTTCGGTATTTTGATCTTCGTGATCTCGGGGTTTTGCTGTCCGTGATTTCGAATTCAGGGTACTGTCACCGAGCGGATCTACTCAGCTACCTGACCTGTCAGAAGATGTGCTTGACGATGAGAGGGAGGAAGCACGTTTAACCTTGTAAGGTATGACAGATTGCGACGGTGTTTTTTTTACCGAGACTGGCGACTCTCCCGAGCTGTGGGCGCTCGCGATTGAGGTGCGTGGCAGTCGGCTCGACTTGGCTGAACGGAACGCGACGTGCGGGCGTTGACCGGGGAGGAGTTGACATCAAGATCCCTTGACCGGGGAGTTCAGTGCAAGGTTCGTTGACTGAGGGGTCGCGTCGAGGTTCCTTGACTGTGTGGTCGGGTCAAAAAAGAAGGGTCGACTGGGGTGTCGGGTCGAAAAAGAAGGGTCGACTGGGGGGTCGGGTCAAAAAAGAACTGTCGTCGGTCAAGGTTCGTTGACCGGCTCGACTGTATACGATGGCCACTGACGTCCCGACGATCCCGGAGGTAGACTCTAAAGCGGTTCAATCGGCTGACGTGGCGGAGTATGCAGCCAGCGATATACCTCCGCCGCTGAAGGCGAAGAGCGTTCAAGAGCTCGAATCCCTTCAGAAGAAGACAACGGAGCGGCCTGCACACGAGGATGAGAAGGTGTTGACGTCAATCAGGTGTGTTGCTCTCTCCGTGTCTCACTGTCTCTGGTCCGTGCCACCGTGGGGATTCATCAGGTGTGTTGCTCTCTCCGTGTCTGTGGTCTGTGCCACCGTGGGGATTAATCAGGTGTGTTGCTCTCTCCGTGTCTGTGGTCTGTGCCACCGTGGGAATTTCGTTTGCGAGTTGGGGAAATTCTCTCGCTACTTGCGTTCGAATCTTTGAGAGCTTACTTACACTGAGAGCGGGCGGCGGGAGATGGCTCAACTTGTCCGACTCAGGTCACACTTCCTTTTTTTTTTTTTTTTGGATTGGTTACACTTCTACTTCGGCAGTTTTTTTGGTTTTGGGAGCGCATCCTGTTGGAATTGGTGGCTCGATTTTCTGACGCGTGACGGGTATATTTTCTGTAGGATTTTTATTTTTTTTCCGGAGCGGATCGATTTGGAATTGGAGTGTCGACTCTTGGGCGGCAATGGGTCAGCCGAGGGTTTCTCGCGGCTGCCTGGAGTGTCCGCTTGGGACGTCAAAGGACTTGCTCGTATGGGTGTGAAATGGATGACAAGGTTTCGTTCGGGAAAAATGTCCCAGCGACGAGACCTTTGTTATCCATTTCCCTCCCCCCGTTTGGGGGGAAATTGATACAAAGGTCTCGTCGCGGGGAGGGAGGGTTTTATGAGTTTCCCGTGAAGAGTACTATGCAAAGCACTACGTCTATATTTTTGCTCAGGAAGTATGGGAACCGGAGAAAGCTGCCACGTAACAGCTACTTTGGAAAGGAGACTCCGAGCGGACGACATTTTTGTTGCCAAACTTCGTGAAAGCAATTGTTGGTTTGAAATTTTCCCTTTCAGTTTTATTTTGCGCCCTCAGCAGGGGTCGGGACCTGTGGAAAAAAGCAGCGTTGTACAACGTTCCCGATTTTTGCAGAATTTAAAACGTCGTTTTCTGTCGAAGTAGAGCATTCGCTGGATTCTCCTGTCAGCCAATGGGCAACGAGGCAGCGAATTGGTCGCCTTGAGAGGATGGGTTCTTTGGTCAGCCAATGGGCTGCGTCCTCTGAAGGTGATGTTTCTGTTTTGCCGATCTCGTAGAGGCTGAGAGCAACGAGGGAGCAACGAGGAAGCAACGAGGATACGTTGCAAAATCACTTTTACCTAAAAAATGGGCAAAATTTTGAAAAAAAAACAAAAGAAAAGAGCAAAATGCAACGGATGCCTTTCTAGAGCGCGGTTTGGTTGACACCCCGGCCACGAAACTTCACGGTTTCACAAACAGGCGGGCCGTGGATATGATCCTCCATCGACGGACTGTGTTTCACGTAAGGACGCACGTGATTGACAACGCCAGCAAGTCGTTGTAAGACGTCTCTAGTGGGTCCCGAGCCCTGGGCTGGATGAAATTCACTTCTCCGTGGAGATGTGGTTTATGATATTCCTTACATTCCCGAGGTTCGTTTTTTGACAGGGTCAGAAAAAACACTAGGTAGTAGGTAAGATGATCAGCAAATCGATTTTTTATTTTTATTTTTTTTATTATTATTATTGAGTGCTCTTTGGTCTTGACAGTCTAGAGCTTCCTTGTTTGATGAAGGGGTCTTGTAAATACTCTGACAATCGGATGTTGGTTCGGTTTCCGTATCGTTTTTTTCCGAGCCTGCGGGATCGCTCGCCGTGATGTTAAGAGAATCGTTACGTTATGGACGGAGGTTAAACAACATGGTGGGGGAGGAGATGGTGGAAGGTGGTTTTCTCTGTGCTTTCCTTGTGGCAGCGACTCCTTGGCGTCCATCACACAGAAGGAAGGAGGCCCACATATTGCAGTGGGCGAACCAGAGAAGGCCAAGAAGGCTGTTATTCGTGCGCGACCCGTTCTGAGTGACACCGAGCTACGGGTCACGTACGTTTTTCACAATCTGTCACCGCCAGGTAAGGAGAGTGATGGCTCATTTCTTCTGCTGATTCACGGGAGGGAGTCTGTGTTTTATCCTATCTTAAAACATCTTTTTCCCAGAAAAATACCAGAAAGGAAAAGTGGATGGGCTTCCCTCGAAATGCCACTACCTGTAGTGCAGTCAGCGAAGTTTTAACTGTCGTGAAGTCCGGCGTTGTGAGGCAGCGAAGTTTTAACTGTCGTGAAGTCCGGCGTTGTGAGGGCTCCCTCTCGTCAACCATTTTTTTTGGTGACCGGGGGCCATGTCCCACTGGTCGGGGTTAAGTTCTGGTTTCAAGTGTACATGTCTCGCTACCATTCGATCTCTAAATCTTGGGGTCGTAGTGTGACCACGTTGGAAAATACACGAAACATGAACTAAACCCCCCCTAGTGGGACATGGCCCCACGATGGGGACGCCATTGCACGGCCGTGGCAACACGAACTAACCCCCCCCTAAAATACAGAAACACGAATTAAACCCCCCCTAGTGGGACATGGCCGCGCGATGGGGACGCCATTGCACGGCCGTGGCCTTGTGAACCATGGCACGGAATGAAGGCTTACCACTTTCTTGGAGTTTTCACATGTTCTGAACGCTGCTTGGTGTTGAGTTCCCTGATTCCTCTCTCTTTTCCTTGTCTGAAAAATGTCTGTTTTTGACAGTTTTTCGTTGTCTGAAAAATGTCTCTTTTTAACAAAGTTAAAAGCGTCATGTTTCGTTTCGAGTGTTCACATGTTCTGAAGGTGGATTGGTGTTTTAGTTCTAGTACTCCTTACCTGCCGTCGCTGCCGACTGTCATTTAAGTGTGAGCTGCTGCGGCTTGCAATAGCGTCCGCGGGTCCTGACCTTCTTGCGAGGATAGGGTTTTTTTTTTCTTTTCTTTTCAACAGAACCTCTCGGTTCTGGCCCCTGCCATTCTGGGGAGCAACAGTCCGGACTTTGACTACGAGCTGTTTCTTCAACTTTCTTGGTGTTGGTGTAAATATTTTAGTTATCTGATTCTGCTGTTTGTGAATTTGGCCTGCAATGCTGGTCGTGGGTCCGCGTGTTTTTCTTGGTGTTGGTGCATAAAATTGTAGTGATCTGCTGTTCGTGAACTTGCCTGCCGCAATTCTAGTGATCTGCTGTTCGTGAACTTGGCCTGCCGGTGCGGTTCGCAATGCTGGTGGCGGGTCCTCGCGTTGTTCTTGACGCATAAAAGTGGAGTGCTTTGCTGTGTTGAGGTCCCACCTGGGCCTCTTCTTCGTTTCTGGTTGACGAACTCGATAAATCTGCGGTCACGAAACGGGAAGTTGTGTGTTGGGTCCTCGCGTTGTTCTTGATGCATAAAATTTGAGTGTTCTGCTGTGTTGAGGTCCCGCCGGTCCCACCTGGGTCTCTTCCGCGTTTCTGGTTGATGAACTCCATAATCTGCGGTCACAAAACGGCAAGTTGTTTTGTGTTGATCGTCAAATCTACGGTCACAAATCGAGAATTCCTGCTCCCGGTTTTCTGTGTTCTCTGCACGTTGTTTAAAATCTTTTGGCAAAATTTTCGCGCATGAATTTTCGGCAAATTATTATTAAATAAATTACATTCTTTCGAGTCTCGGGCTATGGGAAATGTTATTGCCACCGAATTAATTTGGGTTAATTGCAAAAATATTGCTTTTTTAAGTTTGGTAGCAAAAATGTTGTCGGTTCGAAGTTTCCTTCGCAAAAATAGAGTTTTCGTTGCAACTTTACCGGAAACCCGTAGTTTGCCAGCAAAAATGTCGCGTTTTGCCAAGTTTCACAGCAAGAGACCCGTAGGCCTCTGGCCTCAGGTACTCCGGCACTGAGCGTTGCGTTCGGGCCTCAAGTACTCAGGGGCAGCGTTTTTTTTGTTTTTTTTTTTTTTTTTTTTTCAGCGTTTTTTTTGTTTTGATTTTTTTTTTCAG